TCCCGACCATCATCATCGCGAACACGTCCAAGAGCTGCCCCAAAACCCCCTTCCTCGCGTGGCGCCAAACCGGACACGGTGCCCTCCAGCGCGCCTCGGTTTCCTTCCACCGGACCCGAACCGCCCGGACGCGTAAGTCTTGTCGCGGGCGCCTTCGCGGGGGAGCGAATACCGCTGCGGTCCGTCTGGGGCCGCGTCGACGACGGCGGCGTCGAAAAGTCCCCGGCCAAAAGTCGTCAACATTGCCCCAAAACGATGGGTTGCAGTACGAGGAGCTCGCGCAACATAATCTCGTTGAGCTGCCACCCCATACTATTTATTACCCCTTGATCACAACTGTGGCTGCGCGCGCATCCGCACCATGCCCGAGCGCATCACGGTCAACGGCTACGACGTCGAGGGCGGCGTCGTGACCTACAACATCTCCGTGGGCGACACGCTCACGCTCACGAAGCGCTTCCGCGAGTGCGTGGCGCTCAGCGACGCGCTGAAAAAGGCCGACCCGTCGGTGGCGGCGCTGCCGAACCCGCTGCACCACAACCTGCGGTCGACGGAGAAGCTCGCGAAGACGCGCGTCGAGTCGCTCCAGGAGTTCCTCGCGGCGCTGCCCCTCGCGAGCCTCGCGAGCGAGGACTGGGCGACGTTTCTAGCCTCGCCGCCGAGCGACGACCCCGCGAGCCCGGACAAGGGCGCGACCCTGCCGGACCCCGACGCGCCGCCGGCGACGCCCGCGGGCAAGGCCCCCGAGCGGCAGAACTCGCCGTCCTTCTCGGAGCACAACACGAGCGACGACAACGGCGAGCGCGCGCAGGCGCGCCGCTTCACGGAGGCGGGCGACGCGGAGGCGTCGGCGGCGGCCGTCGCGTCGGCGCTCGCCGACGCCGCCGTCGAGGAGGCGCCGGCCGCGGAGGCACCGCCGCCGCCGCCGGCCGTGGCCGTCGCGTCCGCGGCGGACCTCGCGAGCTTCGCGGCGGAACCGCCCGCGGGCGACGCGCCCGCGCCGCCGTCGGGCTTCGGCTGCTGGACCGTCCTCGCCGTCGTCTTCGCCGTGCTCTTCGCCTTCACG